AAAAGCTGATATTACCTTTTTTATTTTATTTATTTATTTTTGTAATCCTATGGCAGAAACAAGCTTTCATAGATGCTGCTTCTTCATGGTCCCTTAAAGGGGTCATATGATGCGATTTAAATTTTTCCTTTCTCTTTGGAGTGTTACAAGCTCTTGGTGCATAAAGAAGGTAAAGTTGCAAAGACTAAAGTCTCAAATCCAAAGAGATATTCTTTATAAAAGTCTTGTCAAAGGAGGGGGCTTTGTTGAAAACGACGTGTTTGAGAGAGGCAGGGCATAGAGGACCTACAATAATGTACAGTATTTGAAAAAAAAATGTGTTTTTTGAACATTAAAGCATGTCAACATATTCTGTTACACCAAATACACAAAATAATGATCTTTAAAATAGCATCATATGACCCCTTTAAAATCCTGTCTAAATAGACAGCTCAAATCATAGCAGTAACTTTGCACTAGTCCCAAAAGGAGTGTTGAAAAATTTACAATATAGCAGTCACTTCTTCTACTAACCCTCTGGCGATTTAGGTCGAGCGCCAGTGGAGTTTTAAACCAAAGTGGGCACACTTCACAAACCCTGCTGATGCAGGTCGTTTTTACAGTAGAACCAATAGCCAAGGGGATTTACTGCTCTGTTCACAAGGCACCATGACAAAGTGCTATGGCCTGACAACAGGACAACGCTGCTGAGGTCTGTCATTTGCCAATAAGTGATAGTAAGCCCTGCAGTTATGCTGCAGAGATGAAGCTGACATTGCTCCAGTTGTGAAAGAGATTTCTCCTCTGGGTTGAAGTTTAAGATTAAGTAAGATTAAGTCTTTTCTCAGGATCAAAAACAGAGAAATAGGAGATTTAAAGAAATATTCTGGGTGCAAATTAATCTCAGAATAAGGCATGATGTTAATTAAATTAATTTAAATTTATCCCTTTTCTAAAAGAAAAAAAGAAAAAAAACCCACAAATTTCTGCTACAGTGAGGAACTTACAATGGAAGTGAATAGAGCCAATTTGTAAACGTTTAAGTAAGTTTCAATGTTACAGCCACAAGATGTAACAATATAAGCGTCATGACTTTAGTGGAAAAAATATTCTAACCAATTCTGTGTAAAGTTATAGACCTTCATACAACTTTGTAGCCATGACAACACAGAAAACCCTAAAATCATTTTTAAAAAATTATGATTTCAACTGCTTTATGGCTCAAACAAACATGTTTTAACAGAAGAATTAATGTAAGTGCATGTATAAAATTATAAGCTTCATATTTCTGCTTTTAAAATCTCCAAGAATTGGCCCCATTCACTTCCACTGGAAATGCCTCACTGTAACTGTGATTTTTGCATTATATAAAGAAAACAACAAAATCGAATCGAAATTAACATTAGGCCACAAATGCTGTTGTCGATTGAGCCTAACTTGTATTGAACCCAAAATATTCCTCCAATTAGTCTCATTCCTGTATAAAAGAAACAAAAAAGAGGTGTTAACAAGATCTTGCCTGTGATTTTTCCCTCCAATGGGAAGAAAACTGCTTTCACCAATTGAATTATGGCAAATATGCACCTACTAGCACAAAGCCAGTTGACTATCACATTTTAAAGCTGATTTCCCTATAACATCACCATTACAAAGACTAAAACACCCATTAGCAACTGAAAGCGTTCTATTTAACAAACAATAGGTCATTAGAGCACATGCTGAATATTTCCTTGTCTTGTCAATCTTCTTCCCCCCGTCCATCAATCTTTCTTCTAATTTAGTGCTGGCAGGAGCACTATGAGCGTATGTTCACCTTGAATAATGACAGCCAGCCTCTCTAAGACTGGAAGAGAGACAATAATCAAAATCTTTTGCTTGCAGTTGTAAGCGAATAAAGCATAAGCGACTGCACTTTGCAATGGAAGCAGCCGAGCATACTGTGCAAACGCTTCGCTCCTAAAGGGTTTAATTATGAGTCGCGCTAATATTGAAGCAGAAAATTCTGGTGCCGGGGACAAGTACGAGGCTTGCCAAAAACCATGGAACAGCTCAGACACATCTAATTGCTCCAGAGCAAACAGATGTGTCTTCTATTTGGAGGCATTTTCAGCTTATTAAAGCACAGAGTGCCTTGTGGCACATCAAATGGCATTCAGAATAATTGATTGGCTGTGAATATCGTATCAACCAACGGCATGCAAAAATAAATCCCATTCATATATCATCCTTTGAGTGGTGATCGTCAGAACGGAGCAATGATTGAAAATTAACAGCAATAAAAACAGATCGCTTCTTCATGCTTAACGTATTGCGTAAATTGAATTTGATTGTAAAATGGCTATACATGACCAGGGTTGCCAAGTTTTCACAGCAAAATCCGCCCAATTGCTACTCAAAACTAGCCCAATCGCTTCACCCAATAAAAATCGACTTGGCAACACTGTACATGACTGCAACCTTATCAAACAGAACTAAGCCCTGCCTTAAATGCTTTACTAACCAATCCTGTGCTGGAATCAACAACATCTTTTGTTGTTGCTGTTGATTTTCAATGAAATCTTGACCTGTTAACACAAAAAAAAATTACAGTTGACCTTTAGCTAAACCCAGCCTCCATTGGGCATTGCTTGCTCAGAAAAGAAAAAAAAGCACCAAAAAAAAAAAAAACATCCTATTAGAAAGAATGAAAGAGTTCCTCATAAAATATTTGCTAATAAAGTGGTAAAAACTGAATGGGTATTAGTCGTACATGCGCTGGAATGAAATGTGACATTGCAACCATATGATTTGCCATTTTCTTGAAAGAACTTGTTAAATTAACCAGTAACGTGATTAAAAACTGCAGAGACTGCAAATCAGAATCAAGTTGACTGAAACGAAAGAAACTTAATATGAAAGCAATTACAAGTGACAACTTTAAAGTGTAAGTTAAAAGAATGTTTCTACAATGTATTCACCATAATGTACACCCTAAGAATTAGTAGAACTCTTAAGGTAATCAGTTTTAAATATTGATTTTCTTCTACACAAACAAATTAATTGCACGTAACTTGAAATATTGAACAATCTGACTGTGCTGATTGTTGTTTTTAGCTACTCTGTCCTTGGTTGGCCTGAATTAAATAAATTAACATTAAATGAATTATCTTTGAAACAAAATTTAGAATATTCATTTGGAAATGATGATGGCTGATGTATAGTGTACTTCACAGGGGAAAATAGCACGTTTGTGGTTTTTGGATCATTTCGAGGAACGATGATTTAGGCCACGATGGGGAAGTCGTGGCCTAATGGTTAGAGAGTCGGACTTGTAACCCAAAGGTTGCGAGTTTGAGTCTCGTACCGCCAGGGATTGTAGGTGGGAGGAGTGAATGTACAGCGCTCTCTCCCACCTTCAATACCACGACTGAGGTGCCCTTGAGCAAGGCACCGAACCCCCAACTGCTCCCCGGGCATCGCAGCAAAAATGGCTGCCCACTGCTCCGGGTGTGTGTTCACTGCTGTGTGTGTGCACTTTGGATGGGTTAAATGCAGAGCACTAATTCCGAGTATGGGTCACCATACTTGGCCACATGTCACATCACATCACATTTCTGTAAAGATTCTCCATTAACTTCAGTTAGGATTAGTCAGTAACTAAAGCAGAGATTTTCGATATTAAATATTTGTCAGCCATTTTACAGTATATTTGTATATAACATACTGATTAGCAAAGGTTTGTGTAGTCTAATAATTCCAGAGATTAAATTTTGCTATTATTAAGCACAGCTGGAAGTTTAGTTTTGTTAAAAATCAAGCTGAAATTGAATTGAGATCTTGAGATTGTAATGTATTTTGCCCTCTCATTGGGCCAATCTGCTCAAGTGCCCATAGACTGTAAATCTTGAGACAAATCAAACAAGCTAGACCTGGACAGCTTATTTATAATCTTGTCAATCACTCTCGCTCTGATCTTGCTCCTCTTTACAGGAAGAACAAACATTTATTCCCAAAATAGTTCCCAAATCCTCAGTTTTAGATTAAAGCTGCAACTGCTGCAAGACAAGACAAGAGAGTTGATATTCTGTGAAGTCTCAAAAATACACAAAAGCATTTTAAAAGGAATTAAATAATTAATAAACAGGCCTGAAGTTTTATTTCCATCCACTACAATACTATGACACTGATTCTCAGCAGGTTTTGCTTCAGGTTCCAGATTTTTGTCATCTAGTGATAGCACAGTACTAAAATGATGTATAATACAAAATTTAAAAAATAAAAAATAAGATTTAGGATAGATAAAACAAAAGCAGAAGCAGTATTTACACTGGAATTTAATGTTAGCCAAGTCATATCCATATCTAATTTCCAAGTATCAAGGCATGCCGTGCAACCTGTCCATGTTGGCATCTGCCTAATTTGGCTGCTTCTACCTTAATGATACTAAACAATACTGTGAGTTTAGATGCCCAGACTTTGACATCAGCAACAAAAGATATCTTCTCCATTTTAAACAATGATATCCTATTTCTAAAAATAAAAAATAAGATTTAGGATAGATAAAACAAAAGCAGAAGCAGTATTTACACTGGAATTTAATGTTAGCCAAGTCATATCCATATCTAATTTCCAAGTATCAAGGCATGCCGTGCAACCTGTCCATGTTGGCATCTGCCTAATTTGGCTGCTTCTACCTTAATGATACTAAAAAATACTGTGAGTTTAGATGCCCAGACTTTGACATCAGCAACAAAAGATATCTTCTCCGTTTTAAACAATGATATCCTATTTCTAACTGCGCTTTAGAAAAAAAAATTAGAATAAATATTTACTTTTAATTCTGTATTGTTCACACGGAATAGAGCCCAAAATAGACACTGCGGTTATTCTGTGGATAATTATTACACAGATTTTGATAGATGATATGTAGGTTTCATGCACCTTGAACAAGTAGGCCTAGGTCTAGCAAAGAAACTGTGCCTTCATGACTAGCAATTATTAAGGAGTGACACTGACATCTAGCCATAGAGAAGCGAATTACACGCTGCCCTTACTGTCGTGAAATCACGCACGCCTTCATTTGCCCACAGTTGAAAGGTCGATCTGAAGATGGTAGAGTCATTGATTTGTAACAACACGCAAAGCAGGTATTAAAACGTGGGTTTTTAATACTAACATATTTATATTCATATGAACTATATGTTTTGTAAAGCACATTGTTAGCTATTATAACCATACAGTAGATTCAAACATAAAAGGAGTTTCTGTCATACAGGTTGAGTTCTGTGCTGAACAGAGATGTCAAGCAGTTCGGAAAGAAGTTCATGTTTGATTCTAATGAGGAGACGTGCTGGAATTCTGACCAGGTAATTTGGCCGAGTTGGTGCGACGATTCGTGCGGTTTTCTCATTCTCTTAACCCATTTTACCACCTTATTTTTAAAAATAGGGTGAATCCCAGTGGGTTGTCTTGGAGTTTCCACAGCCTGTGAAAGTTTCAGAGCTCAGGCTACAGTTCCAAGGAGGGTTTTCAGGGAAATCTTGCAAATTACAAGGTCAGTCAACACGAACAATATTAGCGTTTAGCGGTAAAACCGTAAAAGATATACTTACCATGAGCTCCGAGGTTGCTAAGGGATGGTGTGGACTAATTTACTGTCATTTTGAAGTTGTTTCGAAGAACGATTTAAGTAGCCTAATTGTACTTTCCATAAATGCTTAGTTGCTATTGCCATGAAAACACGAAATCGCGGCAAAATAGCTCAACGTTTACCGCCCACTCCCATGAAGCATTGCGAATATTTTCTTGAACTTATTTTATATTTTGTTTTATTTTTGTTGAAATTGTATTAATTTCATTTTTATTCATAAGACACCATATTTGCTGTCTTAATACATGTTCCTTGCCTTATTATGAACAATTGAAAATCTGATTTAGTTTGACTCTTTCTGCAGTTTACATAGTTAAGCCATGTGGCGCAAAATGAATGGCTTTTAGTGAGTCTTTTGAACCATACTCAACAGATTAGTTCAAAAACGCTCATTCATTGGCGTACAAAACAAGTGACTGCATTTATGTGTGAGTCATTGAATCATTCATTCAGCTGATTCATGGATAAACTTTGCTTTATTCACCACTGAAATATCACTACTGTGTTGAACTGCAGCCCAAGGCATCATATCTACAACCAACTAACAATTTTCATAAATAAGAGATAAAAATGAATAATAGAGATTTAAAATGTTTGTTTTCTACAGGTTCTGCCAAAGAAGAGGATCTCAAACATATTGTGGACTTCTATCCAGAGGACAACAACTGTCTACAAATATCCTTCCAGATGGTGCAATATTATTCTTCACCTTCAGCAATCACCACCTTTTGTCATTTTTGCATCCGCTTAGATAAATGCATGTATATAATCCCCATATTCTCTCAGATTGAGTGTCTTCTGAACTTCCTCACAGTCAGTGGACTTTTCTAGTACAGTAACCTACTGCGACTTATGTTTTCTCTCTTTTCCTGGCCAATGGCCAAATTGCCCATGTCTTCAATTTATTCCAAGCTTATCAAATCCTTGATTCTTCACCCACAGTTTTCCCATTCAAGATGCCCCTTTGGTTCAGAGGCTGAAAATAGTGTTTGAAAACAGTGCTGACTTTTTTGGAAGAATAATTGTTTACACATTGGATATCCTGGGGGAAAAGGTTTTGGAATGTTTTGAGAAAAGGACAACGAGGAAGTATGAAGAGGCAGGAATGCCAACCAACTTCCACCACCCCCCCTTGCTTTCACCTCTGGATGAGGAATTTATTTCCACCTACTCACAGGAAAAGCATACACTGATGTTACTTTTGATCTCATTTCCTTTGTTTCTACAGAGAGACTATGGATTATATTCACATCAAGTCAAAACACATGTACTACACGTTTGTAAAAATGTTTTTTAATTGAAAAAAGATACAAAACTGGTTGTTCTTTACATCTCCTATGTCAAAATAAAGCTATAAAATATGCAGGATTATTGTAAGGTCTTGTAAGAGCAGTTCTCTGCTTCATGTGTTTTCAGACACTGAAACTGGTTCCCGGAAGAGCTTCAAAATATGATCTTCAAGCAGTTTTTGCACTGCAAACAAGTTGGAAGACTTGTCAGTTATTAATTAATACAATTAAAATGTATTATTTGTTATATTAATATACTGTAGGGAATGACTCTTGCCTTTTTTGTGGCCCAATGCAACAGCGAGAGCAACAGGACTGTAGCCAGAGTCTGCCTCAAACGTGATATCTGCCCCACATCCTAAACACAAACTTACTTTAGTTCATCATCACAAATAATAAAATGCATGAATATTTTGAAGACTTACTTAAGAGAGCTTCAACACATTTTGTGTGATTCCCACGAACTGCATACAGAAGAGGGGTCCCACCATTCTGTTAGAAAGTGAAAGTTTTTAGATTTGGAAAATGTTTCTGCAGTATTTAATGGTTGTGTATGATGTATTTGTAAAGTTTTACGAACATTTTCCAAATAATTAAACTGCTCATACCCAGTCATAGGAATCAATATCAACACCATGTTGTAGGAGAATATTAACAATATCGGCAAATCCTCCTGCACTGGCCAAAGACAAGGCACTTTCTCGTTCTCTAGCGAGTGTTCTCGGATCTGCTCCCTGATATAATATAATATTAAAAAAATAAAAATAATATATACAGTTTTATATATATATATATATATATATATATAGTCTAGACTTAGTGGCTACCAAAATGTGTCTTTCTCACCTTCTGAAGGAGGAACTCCACCATCATTATCTCTCCAAATGCAGCAGCCCACATTAGTGGTGTGAAACCTCGCTCATCTTGACTGTTAAGTAGAGAACTGTCTGCAAGATTACCCATATATATATATATACATAAATATTTATTCATTCATTCATTGATTTATTTGTTTATTTATGCATGCATGCGCAGGATGCCCTTATTTATTTATTTATTTATTTTAGCAAGTGTTGTATATTTATTGATACCTTTGGATAAATGTAATTCCAGTTGTGAAATCTCTCCATGGGCTGCCAGCTGATGAATTGAGAGGTCTACAAGACATAATTAAATGCCATAATTACATTTTAAAAGACTATTAAATGCCTGCATTTGAAATCTGCCTATATCTATAGAAGGAGGTGGCAGACTCACTGTCTAAAGTGGCGGGTCGGACTGTGACCTCATTCCCCCGCTGTTTATTTGTCAGAGTGGTCGAGTGGTTTACTGCATTTTCATCATTTCGGTTTTCCATAATCGCTTATCATTACACCTGCTTTAAATGTACGCAATACAGAAAATATAAATAAATAACTAATAAACAAGATTAGCGCCCATTATTATGCATAATTAGTTAATAATACTAATATAAAATAACAAAATATGACTTAGGAGAATATTACCTTTGACTGTTTACATGATCTTAAACTTCACAGGTTCGTGTGATCGTATATGCTGCTTTTGTTTCCTGATTCGGTTGCAAAAGTGAAACTGAAATAGAAGTCTTGCAAGTGCATTGAACTCGCGCACATTCAAAGTCTATTGAATGATACATGAAACAGTAGGCTACTTTTCTCATAATATATATCTGGCTGCAAAATTTATCGCATCTTTTTTTAACAACTAGAGTTGGGACAATAGCTTGAAATGGGTTTCGTGAACGAGTCGGAGGGGTTGGATGAATCTTTTAGGAATCGTTTTAGTTCACTCTCATGTACTGACTCCTTGAGGCGCGTGACTGCTTTACTGCCTTCGAAGACTGACTATAGACGGAGCCAATAGCATTTGAGTGCGAGCTGGGAAGAAGTATTTCATTGGTTGAATCTACTGATCAATACGCCCCCTTCATTGAGTAGGCTAGGTGTAACTCATCTGTCTGTCTACCTTTAATTATTCATGTTTATTGATGTTTGTTGAACTTTTCCCATGGTTCATAACAGCCCATCAGCTTTCTAGATAATGAAATATTTGGGTGAAAAAATTATTATCTATTATTATATATATATATATATATATAT